TCCTCGGTTCCTGTTAGCTCTACTTCTGAAATATATCTAGATGTACTGAAATATTTATGGTGAAATGACGAGATGTTTTGGATTAGATTCAAAATAATCCAGGTGAAGAAGACTGGCGTGTGCAAGGGGATTGATGAAACAAGACTGCCCACGAGTTGACAATCGTTGAGGTTGAGTGACGAGTACATGAGCGCATGATGGAGTACATTGTGCTACTCTCTCTACTTTTGATTTCCCACAATATCGTGTGTGTGTGTCTTTTACACACACTCACTCACATACATGCATATGTGTGCAGGGAAATAGGGGAGAGAGCACGGAAAAGTAGGGGAGAAGAGAGGAGAGAAGAGGAAAGAGAAGGAGGGGAGAGGAGACGAAGAACTCCTCACAGCCTCCCTGCCTAGGTCACCATTGCCTCTTGCCTCCCAGCTGGTCTTCCCTCCTCCTTCCTTTCCCATTTACAGTCTATTTTCAACACATCCACCAGACTGATTCTGATAAAACATGTCAGCTTGTGTCACTTCTCTGCTCAGAACCCTCCAGTGACTTCCATCTCACACAGAGTTGGAGCCGAACAAAGTCTCTCGCTGACCTTCCAGACTGTGTCTGTGCTGCCCTCACCTCCCTGAGCTTCTAGTTCTCTCCTTCGCTCCAGCCACTCTGGCCTCCTGGGTCTTCCTCTCGCAGTCCTAGCCTGTACCTCGGGGTCTTTGCACTTCCTCTCCTCTTTCCTGCGAGGCTGTTGCCACAGATGTCTGCATGATTCTTGCCTCACCTCCTCCAGGCCTTGGCTTAAATACTTTCTCTCTCACTGAGGACATCTCCGACCACGCAATCTATAATACCCCGGAACCCTCATCCCTATTTTTTTCTATATTATTTAGCATTGCTGGCATACTCTATATTTTACTTATTTCATTTATTGCCTCTCTCTATCCATCAGAATGTCAGCTCCATGAGGGCAGATGTGTCTCTATTTTGTTCATTGCTCTAACACAGGCATAGAATGGTGCCTGGCACATAGTGCTTAGTAAATATTATTTTAATTAAAACACAGATTTGCCTCCTCACACCCCTGGAATCTGGCCTCTTCTTTCCAAAAGGACCGAATGGCCTTAGCTCAGGCCTTCGCCAGCCACCCACCTCCCTTCCTCAGTCCTCTCATCCCAGAGCATGGTTTTGGCATCTGTCCATACTCAGCTCCCTGTCTCTGGTCTGCCTCCCCACCCACTTTCCACAAGCTAGGAGAAACTTCCTAAAGCGTATTTCTGACTGTGTCCCACACGTTCCTGTTTTTGAAACCCCTTGTGTGTAGGGTGGGGAGGGTTGGGAAGTGGGTGTCCCAAAGCCAACAACATAAAGTCCATGCCCCGCAGCCCTCCATTCAAGGCCTGAGGGGCCCAGGCCACACTTTCTCATGTTGCCCACATTCTCCCCTCCAAACAGCATGGTCCTATGTTAAGAGCAGAGGCCCTGAAGCCAGATGGCCTGGGCTGAATCCAGTTCTGCCACTAGCTGGCTGGCTGGCCCTGAACAAGTTACTTACATTTAGCTAATGGCTTCCTCATCTGTAAAATGGGGTCATAATAGCAGTATCTTCCTTATAGGGTTGTTGTGAGCATTAAATAAGATAATCCATATAAAGTGCTTCACCATAATGCCTGTGACTTGGTAAGTGCTCACAGCACCAGCTGTTGGCGGTGGTAGTGGGCACAGTATGAAACCACTTATACCAATACCTGGACACTGACCTCTACCTTCGTTTCCTACCTCCATCCCTATGTTCTTGCTGCTCCCTCTGCTCCATCACTCTCCACCCCTTCTTTGTCCGGCCCTCAACTCCAGTGTGTCACTCCCTCCTACCCTGGACAGCTATACTTCTTCAGGCTTGCCACTACAATATGATCAGGAATGAGTGTCCTATGCCAAGCTACGCAGCAGAGGGTGACGCCCTTGACTGTCTCCCAAGCCCCATGAGAACCTGGTACAGGGCCTGATAGAAGGTAGGTACTCAGTAGGTATTTGACAAATTAAGCAAAGTCACACTTGTGTGGCCCGGTGCAGAGCGAGGCAGAGATGGACTCACAGTTGCCGACCAGGACAGGCCCACACTCCATCCCATCCCACATTTTGATCCTCTGCACAGCATTCCTCTCATCTAATGCGTTCCTTGTTCAGTCCTGTGTGCTTCATTATCAGCACCCTCTACTTGCCCCTGTGCTAGCATTCAAGCTCTGTGAGGGCAGAGACTTTGTCTGGCTTGCTTGCTGCTGTCTCCCCAGGGCCTACAACAGAGCCTGACACACATTAGGAGCTCAGTAATGTTTGTCAAATGGACGAAGGAGACAGGGAGTGAATGGAGGGGGCTACTGTTTTAGCGAGGTAGCCAGACTGAGGTCTGGGTGACAGTAAAGAGCCAAGGTTGTAGAAAGAACAAGAAAGAGCTTTCGGAGGAGGGGAGATGGTGTGGCCATGGGCTTGGACTGTCTGAGGAGCAGCAGGGGCCAGTGTAGCCTGCAAGGAGAGGGGACTGCCTGGCTGAAGGGGAGGGTAGACCAGAGAGGCTCTTATAGTTGTCCAGGGGCAGCTGGTGGGGGCTTGGAGACGGGAGAGTTTCTGTCAAAGGGCTGCAATCTTGGACCCCAGGCTTGACACCACTGCTCTGGTTCCTTAGCTGCTCCTGCTTCAATTCTGGTGCTTCCAGACCCTGGGGCTGAGCTGGGTGAGTGAGCCCTCTGTCTCCTGGCCCCTGACACAGAATCTCCAGGCACTGCCTGGAAGCAGCAAAGATCGAGGACTGACCAAAGAATAATAATAATATCTAATACTTATTGAGGTCTCACTGTACCGGGAACCACTCTAACTGCTTCACAATTACTAGCTCATTTAAACCTCCCCACAACCCTAGGAGGAAGAGACTCTAGGAATCCCCAGGCAGCCTTAATTTGCCTGAGGGCATATGGCTGGGGATGAGCAGGCCAGGGTTACATGCAGCCTGGCTTCGGAGGCACAGTTGTAACTATCAAGCCCACTATACCTCCTCTGAGGCCTAGATGGGAGTGACTTGTGAGTCTAACCCCTCATTTTACAGGTGGGGGAACTGAGGCTGGGAGAGGAAAGGTTCGGTCCAGGGTACAGAGGAAGTAGCACCCGGTCTGTTGGCTCCCAGGCCAATGCTCTTGCAGCTTTGGGTGTGGGGAGTAGAGGGAAGGAGGAGAGATGATGAGCATCCTCTACCCCTCCAGCGCTCGGCTCCTGCCCAGCCACCCTGGGCCAGGGAAAAGGTCACTTTGCTCCTGACTCTGGGCCACATCAGGACCATGGTCATCTTATTTTGGAGGATCTAGGGAGCAAGCCCCATGAGAACCTGGTAGGGGGCCAGCCTCTCCTTACGTCCCTTGCTCTACCAGGACCCCTTGCCTCATTCTATCCCTCCCTCCATATCCCTTTCCTCTCCACCGCACCCCCCACCACCCCACCCCGGGGGAGTTGCTCTGGCCCTGGGCAGTGGGAAGTCATGAATATTTCATTGCCTTTCACATCAGGAAGCAGGCAGAGCAGGCAGCTACCTCAGCAGGTCATGGAGAAGGAAAACAGGAAGGATTGGGGTGGGAGGAGGAGGAGTGAAGGCCAAAAAGCCCCAGAAAGGGGTAGCTCTTCTTTGTCATGCCAGAGGTCAGGCCAAGCCTTGGTAGAGTTAGAGCAGCTCAGAATCTGAAGCCCAGCAGCGTTTCAAGGCTCGAGGAGCCCTAAAGGCAAACCCTCCACTTCGCCGGCCTCAGGGAGAGTGAGTGGGAAGCAGCATTCCCCAGGAGCCAGGAGGCAGCAATGCCTGGCTTTGCCTGGCTTGTGGCTATGAGGCCGGGAGAATGAAGTGAGCAGGGGAGGGGGAAGAAGAGAGGGGAAAGACGGTAGAGATGAGGAAAAGGCAGGGGAGGAGAAGCTAGGAGGCTCTGTGGCATTACACACCCAAGAGCCCCTGGAGGCCACACATACACAAATGTGAGTCCTGAAGGCAGCACACGTTAGAGGCTTCAGGTGGCTTCTTTCTGTCTCCATCTCTCCCTCCATGTTCTCCCATGATCCTTTGCTCACTGACTCCTCTACCAAATCCCGCTGGGAAACTGCCTTTCTACCCCTGTGCATGCTGGGAACTCTGCCCCACCAGGTGGTCTTTCTCCTATCCACACAATAGAAAGACTGCAGGGGGTAAAGGATGGTGCAGGCCTGTATGTGCTTGTACCTCAGTGTGTATTGATGCTGTGTGTGTGTTATGCATTTGGTTTCCATGTACATCCGTGCAGAGTGAGGTCCCTTATTTATGTGACTCAGAGGTAATGTGTGTCACCTGTGCTGGGGGATACAGGTCTACAAACACAGTGACTGATAGCAGGGAGTTAGGCAGTCTGGAGTCCCAGCTCTGCCACTAACTTGCCATGTGATCTTTAAAGCAAGTCACTTCAGTACTCTATGCCCTAGGTTCCTTGTCTGTAAAATGGGCACACTTATTAGCATTCTTATGAGGATTCAATGGTACAGTCAGTGCATGTGAGATGGGGGTGCTACCCTAGTACCTGGCATGAGACTAGCACTTAATAAATGAGGATCCTTATAAATATTGCTGTTGTAACTGGCATGCTGACAAAGAATCAAGATGTAAGGCCAACACACACACACACACACACACACACACACACAGCCCGAAGTCTCCAAGGGACTCCAACCCCCTCCCTCCCACTTCCCCATGCCAGGTGGCCTTGGCTAGAGATAGGACCAAACAGCACTCACCAAAAACCTCATCCACGGGTTCTCGGAACTTTGAAGAAGCCATGACTCAAGAGAGCTGGAGAGAACAATGGGGAGGAGAGGAAAAAGGCCGTGAATAAGAGGCTCAGGTTGGTGGAGGCCAGGGAGCTGCCAATGGCCTGTTCCTGGCCTCTGGTCTTCCCTCAGAACTCCTCCTCCAGTACCTGGAAGTCATCTGAACCACAGCCCAGATTGTGGGGGTTGGAGCAGGAGACAGAAGCAGAAGGCAGGGGCAGAGAGCAAGTCCAGGATATAGTCACAGGCTGAGTCCTGTGGTAGGCCCAGCTGATTTGCTGTGCGCCTCTACACAGGTACTAAACTTTTCCCCCTCACTCTCTTAGGCCTTTCCATCTTTTGTCTTCCCTAAAAACTTTTAATCATCATGAGTTATCCAACATCAAATCTGGGCGAAATCTTGGAGAATATTAAACCCAATCCTCTCATTTTACAAATGCAGAAATGGGAGAATGATTGGCCTAAGATCACATAACAAGTTAATGGCACAATCAGGACCAGAACTCAGGTTATTCCATCCGTCCATCTCCTTCCCTACTTATCCATCTATCTACTTGCCCATTCATCCATCCATTCATTCACCCATTCATCACCCATCTATCCAACCATCTGTCCATCCATCCATCCATCTATCCATCCATCCATCCATCCATCCATCCATCCATCCATCCATCCATCCATCCATCTATTCAATACTTACCCCCATCCATCCATCCACCCACCTTTGCATTTATCAGTTCATACCATCCACTCATCCATCTTCCCAGCCATCACTCAGTCCTGCCTCCCCCCACCCACAGTCACTGGTGTGCTCGCCACCTGCCTTCATGAACACAAGCTGTTCAGGAAGCTGGTGCTATCAGCAGTAGGGCCACTGTTCTTGACAAAATCACAGTTCCAGACAGACTCACAGATGCCAGAGGGTATGAGGAGTACTCACAGCACAACAGTGGACGGCCAAATCTCTATGACGCATCAAGTACATTCTGGAAAGAAGTGTGGATGGGTAGGGGTTTGATTTTGTTGTTGTTGTTGTCATTTGGAGGAAAGCAAGAAGGAAGGCAGGTAGAGAAGCAGGATATATGCAGCTGAAACAATTCGGGCAGCCTTCCTAGTACATAGGATTGTAACAGTCAGAACCAAGGCTTGGGTATTAGAAGGACAGGAGAATTCCAGATAAGCAGAGTAAGGAAGTTCAAGGACAGGGGCACACTGCATGGCTGGGACGTGATCTCCAGTTACTTGCCTGGGCACCAGGCAAGATTATACATTTGGCAGGTGTAGGAGAGAGAGGCCACACGCCTACTGGGGTCTTTTCCAACTCTCCTCTTCTATTCTTACGCAGACATCATCTCACCATGAGCTGGCCTGGCTAAGGATTCTTAGTCTCCCCACTTTACAGATAGGAAATAAGAGGCAGAACAACCTTGACTCCGGTCTCCTGTCCCTTAGCCCTATCGTGGGTGATGATCTGCAGTTTTGGAGGGTGCTCACGAGGAAAGAACATTGCAGGGAAAAAGGGAGAGAGAGGGGAGCTGGTCCATACTGGTTAGGTCTGGGAGGAGTTTCAAAACCACCTCCACCCCAGGCTCCATGGACGCTTGAGGTTGAAAGTAGAAAATGAGGTATGAGAAGGGGCCAGGGACATGGGCCCCCCTGCCATTCTTGAACTCTGGGTGCTAGTAGCAAAGACATTTTAGAACCTCTCTTCCTGTCCTGAAGGGCCAGACGGGAAGGGACGCTGCCCCTAAGAATAAACCAAATTTGCTCATTCAATCACAAAGCTTCATCTGATCAGGACCCAGCTGCCACCTCCTCCAGAAAGCTGTCCTAGATAGCCCTCCCTCCTCCCATTTGTCTACATAATTTCTAAATCCACCCTTCCCCAACCACTGGGAAATGAGGGATTTTTCATACTTCATCGATTCCCTAACTGGGTCATATCTCCCCTACAGCTGATGGGCACTCCCTGAAGAGAGACGCCAGTATGCCCCGCCAAACTAGGGACTCTCTGAAGATAAGATTGGAGGCTCCCCAAGGGCAGTAGAGGTGCCTTCTCTCTTAGACTACCTGAGACGCAGATCCCTGTGGTCTTTTTTTTTTTTTCTCAATTACAGTTGACAGACAGTATTATGTTAGTTTCACCATATGTTCTTTAGTAAAGGTCCCAGTCCGGGGTGAAGGTCCTTATGGATGGAATCCTCCTTCAGGTACTCTCTGGGGTGGACTGGGGCTTCCAGTTCACACCCTGCCCAGTCCATCCTGATTCAGCACAAAATGCTTTCTTTTCCTCCTTTCAACAACTAATGCCCTGGGGTGTGTATAGGGGACCCTCCCTACACTGTCCCACAGGGAACTCTGGGAAGAAGATACCCAGGAGGTAGGTCACCAGGCCCTTCTCCACCAACCCCCTCATTCCAGAACTGAGCTACAGAAAATTAGATACCCACCCCATGACCTATTCATACTCCTACACACACACACACACACAGACACACACACACACACACACACACACACACTCATACACATCCGACCAGGTAACTGCCACAGGATAGAAGTGAACCTGTTCCTCCAGACTCTGACTCTCCTGGGCCACTCCTTCCAATTCCAGCTCCTGAAGAAGGAGCACCAAGGACTTTTGACCTTTCTCTGGCAGAAAGGGAGGCAGGTGAGATCAAAGCTTCCTGACCCAGGGTAAGAAGCAAAGGAAAGAAAGGGGCACAACCCTGGAGAGGGTATGGGGGGTAGGAACAGAGACACAATGGACAGGTTGGTGAGGGGCTCAGTCCACAGGGCTGCAGAGAGAAGGAAGAAAGAGCAGAAAAATAGATATAAAGACAGAGTGGGTCCAGGGAGAGCAGTAGTGGAGAAGGGCCACCAGCAGCCCAGAGTGAGGCCCAAGGGAGGGGTGTGAAGAGAGAAGGAGAATCCGCCGCGGGGGAGAGGGCAGTCCCGGCGGGGCAGAAAGGAGGCCTGGAAGAGCAGAAAGGGACCAACAGAGAAAAGTGCAACTGGGAAAGGCCAGGAACGAATGGCCTGGAGAAGAGGCTGGGGGTAGGGAGAGGCAGTTCTGCAGGTAGAGAAAGCCAAGCCCCTCTCCCATAGGCCCAGTCTTGGGGCGCCCGGAAAGCGTCTGATGTCTCCTCCAAGCGTCGCTGAAGACGGAGTGGGAGTGGAAGACAAGGCACCTACTGCACTCCCAGGGCCCCTAGCCCTCAAACAGCTGGGCGGCTAGTTTCTCTTCACCAGTATAACTCCGCGCCGGGCAAGAAAGAGTTAAGCCCTCACCCCCTTCCCCCACACCAGTTTTTTAAATTAATTTCTCAGGGCGGGGGGCGGGAGGGAGAGGATTAGAGACACAAATCCTATCTCCGCCCCCTCCCCTTTCAGCCCAGCACCCTAGCTCGGAGCGGCCCCCTTAGGGATGGGGGAAGAAAGGCCCTTGTCGCTTCTCCCCTATAGCCGCTCGGGGTCCCACCGCGAACCCGAGTGACCCCCTCCCAGCTCCGCTTCCCCGTCCACTTTAGAGTCCTTAGAGTCCCGGCTCCTTACCTCCAGCATCAGTCATCTTCAGCGTCCATCGCCTGGGGAACCCCTCCTGCCCATGGTGCTCGGGGTGGAGGGTGCCGTCACCCCGGCCGCGGGGGGCTCCGGGCTGGCTCAGTCCACTCCATCCCGGGAGTGGGGTGGGGGTCGGCGAGGAGGGTCCAGGAACTGGAGGGAAGGGTGGGGGGAGTGTGGGAGAGAAGGAGAAGGTTTGCAGTAAGCAGGAGGCGCGGGCGGGGCTGGACCAGGAGACCTGACCGGCAGGATGCTCCGTACGTGTACGTGTGTGTGTGTGTGTGTGTGTGTGTGTGTGTGTGTGTGTGTGTGTGAGAG